GTGCACCGAGGCACTGCTGAAGGCCAGATTGAGTTGCGCATGACCAACTAGTGATCTACTGCATTGGGCAGCTGTAGCAGAGGCATGACTCTCACTGTAAAAAACTGGTGTCATTAAGTTTGACTACAATTTACTGTTTCACATCAAACCACTCTGAATTACATTATCTACAGGTTAATGTTTTGAATTAGACATAATTTCTTAAAAATGGGTGGAATTCCCATTTAAAGTCCCATTTAATGTTAGTTTGTGTTTCTTCTACTGTTTATCTCCTGTTTGAGTGCTTTGTTTCATTCACTAGCCTAGTCTTTCTTTTTGTTTAGTCCATTTAATTCTTAATTTTCATTTTTTGGCTAAACCAGCACAAAAGTACAAAAGAAGGTCTCACATTCATGTAGACATATGTGAATTGTTGAGTTCAGAGAAGCACTAACCAAACCCATCTTACATATTTAGCTGTTTAAACTAAGCCATGATAGGATTCTGTACTTTAAATTCTGCATTGCATGTGGACCCAAGTCGAGAAACAGGTGTTCAAAAGGACATTAATACTTCATGGAACGTGATTATATTCGCTGTTGGACGTGAGTAATTCTTCATCCTGATTTGGATCAATTTGTATCTCCAATTAAACAGCATCATCTCCTTGGCTTGTTCACGGTGGTCCTCCTTTGGGAGCTTAAGCCATTTTCTTTCCCCCATACGGGATGCAAGTGGCCATTTTAAGTAACATAAACAACAGCAGATAATAATGCAGCACCGAACCCTTTGATTAACAAATCAAAGGCCTACATAGAAGGGCCCAGGCTTCTCCTGAGAGACTCATGCTCAGACATGAGTCATAGCAGCCTCTGCTGGAGCTTGTCCACCAGAGCAAGAGTGCCATCCTCTCACCATCTGCTTAGCACTTCTCCACTCCCCAGTCACTCCAGATCATTTATCATTATCAAAGCAAAGCCGACAGAGATGCTGCGGCGCACTCAGCTAAAGCGAGACTGTTCACTCCAGTCAAAAGGTACTCTTAGCCATTTTATAAAGACGCCAGAAAGGGGTTATATAGACGAGTGAAGGACCACTTTTGGTTTCTTAAAGAACCTTTCAATGGATGGTTCTTAACAGAACTATTTCTTTTACAGCAGTGGTCCTGGATTACCCCTGCCCTGCACGTTTTAGTGTTTTACCTGTTCTTACACACCTCATCCAACTAATCAGCTCATCAATGAGCCATTCCTGAGTCTATCTGGGTGTAGTGGAGCAGGAAAAACACTAAAATGTGCAAGACAAGGGCAGTGGCAGATCTAGAAAATTTTAGCAGGGGTGGCAGGGAGTTGCAGCAGGGTGGCATTATGAATGTGTGAGCAGGGATGAGGGTTTGCCAGTAGTGAAACAACTCTCAAAGCTGTACAGATGAGACATACTCGCAATGTGAATGTGCGAATGAGGGGTTGGAGAGAGGGTGCCGATAGCAAAACAACTCTCAAAGGCGCAAACCCCTGCACCACAGTGAGCCAATGACATGGCAGAAATTTTAGGGTACTATCTGGGGTGACCAATCAGATTTCAGGCAGGACACTGGCCACTCTGGTCACCCCTTTAAAACTGTGTATGGATAAATGGTACTTCAGGACCAGGGTTAGGAACCTATTTTACGGTCACTTAAGTCAGTGGTCCTTAAACCAGTCCTCAAGTCCCTGCAGACAGTCCACATTTGTGCTCCAACCTAACTCATAAAGGGATAGAGGAAAAAATGTGGACTCGAGGGCCTGATGACTGATTTGAGAACCACTGCCTTAAGTTCTATGTATTAAGTATGTAGTACAAATTCTAAAGTACTAGGTAATTATTTTGGGTAACATGGTAAGTTCCAAGACAGTTTAACTAAATCACACCAAAATGTCCTAAATATTTTCTTGTGGCAAAATACCATTATTCTGAGTAAAATATGGGTAAGTACACAGACAGTCAGACAGCTTAACTAAATTATATTGAAATGGCCAACAGGTTCTAGCTATTACGCAGAAAAAGACATAGTGAAGAATTTAATAACTGGAGAAATATTTTGAGAATTGGAGAATTAAAAACAAATTGCACTAAATTTTATTGTAATGTCACATGTTTAAGCAGGAAAGTAAATCGGAAAGAGTAAGGACCCAGTAAAATGTAGTAAAAATAACTGCTTTCCTCTACAAGCCTGAGTCTGTTCTGTTTCTAGATAATAAACAGGTTCTGTATGTTCTATATAAGACTTTTATGTCGTTAAGTGTCTTCCTCCTGCCTTATTACCCCATATAACTACCTGGTACTTGGAAGTGTTTCTAATATTTACTTTCCTGCTGTGACTTTACTGTGAAATCTAGTGTTAGTATGTTTGTATTTACCACTGTGTTACTCCAAATAATTCTCCGGTTATTATATTTTACTTTTTTTACTTTTTGTCCTTTGTCAGCTTAGCTAGAACATTAAATGCATTACCAGTATAAAAATACATGGTTTCATTCAAAACTGCTGTATATTCATTGGTAACAATTTTAGATAGGAATAGATAGGTAACAATTTTTGAAAGGAATATGGAATATATATATATATATATATATATATATATATATATATATATATATATAATGGAAACATTTTTATTTCTCAGATAAAGGCGGTATTAAGGTGGTATGTGTAAAGCCCACTCCCAACAACGCATAACATGAAAACTAAGAAAATGCTTGAAAGTGGTCTATAATGTGTTTTGCAACAAAACCTTCATATATACCAATAAAAATGTTTTTCCTAGACCTGCACATCCAAGCAAAGATCCTTACCTTTTAACAGTGCAGAGCTACGTATTCTCAAACAGACTGAGCACTCTTTGCTCTTAACACACTGTCTACTTACTTAAGTACTTTAAGCATTGTTCATAGAAAAGAACTGACTTGGAAGTGGAATGTAAAACAAACCCCAACTGAATATGTAACATGAACCAGAATACATTAGTTCACACGTTCTGTTCTCTTGTGGTTTCAGCCCATGATGGAACATTGGACATGCATAGTTAAACACCCACACTAATCCGCTTTCTTCTTTGTATTTTATTACTACTGTATTCCACTGCACTGTATCTCTTTCCAGTTATAAAAGTTATAAAATGCTAAGAAAATGATATCACCGCAGGTGAAAGCATCTTAAATGTAGGCAATAAGTCTAGTATTTCTCATAAGATTGCTGGTAGATTATTAGAAGATTGCATAACTGATTTCTACTATCCTGTTCACCTATATATATTATAATAGCATTATTTCTTAAAACAAGCTAAATCATCTGCCGAGACAGTGAAATCACTTTGTTTAAAATAACTAAGAAATAACTTTTAGAAGAAGCCAAAAAAAAAGACTATAAATGGGTTGAATGTTTTAATACTCTCACAACAGTATTATAATGAGAAATATTAGATATACTGACTGGGTTTAAGGTGATTTCACTAGCCGGTATATCCTTTTAACAGTGCAATCCATAATAAGTGTTTGCACCTACTTTTTCTCCAAAAGCGTTACTGCACACAGATCAAGATTAGAACTCCTGGCAAGGCAACTTCATTTGCTCTTGTTTATTCTTGTACTGCCTGATGGTGTTTCCCATCTGGATTGCCGGACAGTTTCTAATTTCTGTAATTAGCTATGGAAATGACAGCATTGTCAGAGCTAGGGTGAAAACTGTCAGACGACATTTGATATGAGCTAATCTGAGTGAAAATGCCAATGTTAAAGAATCTGGACAGGTTGGAGCTCACGGTTAAGCTCTGAGTTCTGCTGTGTTAGCCAGCACTTGTGTCATCTACTCATTCTTTAGCCCAAGGCTGTTGTTAAGCATGTAAGGTAAACCGAGATGCTTCACTGTAGCTGAATGTTTTCATTTTATGCACATTGTTGGGTAGCATAACTGCACTCATGATGAGCAAGAAGAGATAATGAGCTCCCATGTTTGACCTTTAGAGATCTTGATAAGGGATGCAGTGAAGACTCGCTGTAGACACCTGCTCAACCAGTGTTTATTTCTGAAAACAAGGGTATTAACAGGGAGTTTGTTCCCTCTAACAGCCTCGACTCAGCTCAGATGTTGCAACATTGCTGTGAGGATTTGATTGCATTCAGCCATAAGAGCATTAATGAGGACAAGTCCTGATGTTGGGTGATTAGTTCTGGATCACTTTAACTCATCCCAAAGATGCAGGATGGTAGCTCCATCACTCCAGAGAACACAGTACCACTGCTCCACAGCCCAAAGCTGGGTTTATACCCCTCTAGTCGACACTTGGCATTGGGCATGGTGACCTTAGGCTCATGTGCAGCTGCTCCATCCTATTGGCAATGCTTTTCTATGGAAATTATACAGGCTATGCCTGCACAGCTGAACCTCTCAGGAACAGGTGCATCTTAATAGGTTCCCCAGTAGGAGGGGGTGTCTGGATACTTTTGGAAATATGGAGTAGGTCACTTTTTAACAGGCCGTCTGTGTAACTCTGGGCGATGGTAGCTATGGTCTGTTTTTATTTCTTTTCTTTTTATGTGCCAAAGTATGCTGGTATTACTAATAGATTTATGTTAGCGTGAAGCCGAAAAGGTTAAGGTCTTCAGGTCTTCTACTCACGAAAGAGTAATAGCACAGCAGGGATATACGGGTCACCACCATAGTCTCAACTGTGTACTTCAGACTCTAAGCTTAGCTTTTTAGCATTACTTTTTGTGGCTAATTTGGAGTTTCTCCTGATAAGCTATCACTAAACCAACTGTTCCAGGTGGTTGTTATTAGTATAACGATGCCAAATGGAGGTGTAACAGTAAATGACAGACATGATGTTAGTATAACATTATTTAGCTTAGCAGTCAATTTTCAGCACAGTGAGATGGTGAAAACGACCGAGCCGTTAACTGTAACCACATCAGTGGACAGTGAGGTGACCGCAGCGCTGCTGTCTATTTAAATCTGTCCAGAAACAGGAACACGTAGCCTACCTCAGAGCAGGTCCTTCTGTCGAGCTCGCCTTTATTTCAGCATCGTCGCGCTCACTGTGGACGGAAACAGCGTCCATGTTGACCGCCTCCTTCACCGACCTGCTCCGTAAAGCTCGCGCGCTCTGAAAAAAAACAGCAAATCTCAGCAGTGTGGCACTGTGCGCGAGCTCATGGAGTCCAACATGATGCTCGTGCTCTCCGTGTCGGAGCTAAAGGCAGTGTACGGTGTGTGTGTGTGTGTGTGTGTATATGTGTGTGTGCGCGTTCACTCTACTCTCTGATTGGTGGGGCGCGCGCTGCGCGTGCTGAGCGCTGCTGTGGAGGGGCAGGAGGGTCGCTGTTCAGCTCGGGGTGGTGCTGACGGACCACTCAACTCCACTGCAGTGCTTTATCACACATACCGCAAACGTAAACATTTTATTTATATATTACTTTTGTTTGGAAAGTGTCTCTTTACTTATATCACAATACAGTGATGTCTCGATTCAACACATTCAACACATTTTTTTAAAAACAAAAATAAGTAGTAGCTGAAAATATGCCTCATGTTTATATGTGAGTATTTCCATTTTCAGTTTATTACAGCATTTAACATTGTAAAAACACTTATAAAAGTCCTCAGAATGGCATTCAGGCTAAACACAAAAGATTTGCTTCATAGTGGACAGAGGTAATGCACTGCTAACAAGCTAACATGCATAACCAAGAACGGTGATAAGATGTGATGCAATGTGATGCGTTATATTGCTATTACTCCGAGATCTTTATTAGGAACACTATACTAATACTGGGCAAGGCCTCCCTTTGCTCTCAAAACAGCCTCAGTTCTTCATGGCATGGACTCCACAAGATGTTGGAAACATTCCTTTGAGAATTCCTTTGCGATGATTGACTGGTGTGCCCCACACCATTACACCACCTCCACCAGCCTGGACTGTTGACACAAGACAGGTTAGGTTCATAGATAGAATTGTGACGCTATCATCTGCTTGCTGAAACTAAGATTCAGACCAGGCTACCTTTTCTCCAGTATTCATCTTTACAGTTTTAGTGAGGCTGTGTCCACTGATGCCTCAGCTTTCTGTTCTTGGCTGACAGAAATGGAACCTGATGTGGTCTTCTGCTGTTGTAGCCCATCTGCCTCAGGGTTCAATGTGTTGTGCATTCTGAAATGCGTTTTTGCTCACCACAATTGAACGGAGTGGTTGTCTGAGTTATTGTAGCCTTTCTGTCAGCTTGAACCAGTCTGGCCATTCTTCACTGACCTCTTTCATCAACAAGCTGTTTCCGTCCACTGAACAGCCGCTCACTGAATGTTTTTTCTTTATTGTACCATTTTGAGTACACTCTACATCCTCAGAAAAAAAGGTATTAAGCCTTCGCTGGGGTGGTATCATCAAGGCTGCATCTTCAGTACCTGTAGTCAGGGAACATAATTGTACCATATTCCATTGAAATGATATTTTAAGTTCTATTAACTCCAAACATCCTGTCTTGATTCCAGGCTTTTGAATTTATTGTTCTGTTTTGAAACATTAGGTTATGAAGAAGTACAAATATCTACTTTTGACCTGGGAAAACCATATTTGAGGTACACAATTGGACCTTAAAACCATTGTTGTACCTTTGAGGGCACATGTTCAGTGTTTGTACCCTGATTAATGAAAAATGTACCTGCTCAGTACATTTTTTCTGACAGTTGTGTATAAAAAAATCCCAGGAGATCAGCAGTTAAGAAATACTCTAACCAGCCCATCTGGCACCAACAATCATGGCACAGACAAAATCACTCAGGTGACCTTTTTTCCCATTCTGATGGTTAATCTGAACATTAACTGAAGTTGCTGGCACATTTTTGCATGATTTTAGACACTGCGCTGCTGCCCCACGATTGACTGATTAGATAATTGCACAAATGAGTAGGCATGCAGGTTTTCCTAATAAAGTGCTCGGTGGGTGTATGTAGAGTGTAACAATACACATTATATATATTTTTAGACCCTGCACCATATAATAGTGCATATGTAGATATATAGCAGCATACAGGATCAAAAGAAATGGCCCAAAATTACTTGAAGAAAAAGATCTGGTTGACTTACAAAGACTTACATTAAAAGAAAAGTATGTTTTTTCCTTGTTGTCATATCAAGTCATTGACAGCAGCAATATCTACATCTATCTATCTATCTATCTATATATATATATACACACACACACACACACACACATATATATATATATATATATATATATATATATATATACACACACACACACACACACACATATATATATATATATATATATATATATATATAATTACTACAACACTATAACATAAAGATAAATTACCTCTCTAAAAAAGAGGGAAAAAACATTGCAGCATTACAGCATTGTTACCAATAAAGCAGTGCATGCATATACATACTGAGTTATTCTTAGGTTATAGGTGTATACAGTAAAACTTTAAGTCTGATGGTGGACCCTGGCCACTTAAGGGGTTAGCATATCCTCTACAGTGAACACCCTTCTGCTCATTGTAGAACTCAATTACTATTTATTTGCCATATTTAACATATTGGGGAAAAAAAAGAAACGTTTTCCTAAGGGGGCTTTACCCTCTACTTCCAAACTTGTACAGTGGGCAGCGCTGCACTGGGTCAGCTTGAGGTTTTAATGCAGGTCTGAAAAAAAGGTAATAAAAGCTGTGTATGATTTTTACCATCATTGTGTGGATTTTTAACTCACCTGCTTAATTGGTGGAGTTGAGGAACTGACTTTAAGTATTTATCTTCACATCATCAGTGCATTCATCTTTTAGTTTAATAAACATTGTCCTATTGTTGAACACTAATAAACTGACCCCTTTAAACATCATTAATGGGCCCATGTCATGGAAAAACACATGGAATTTTTTTTTTAAAAACAATGTTTGATGTATGAAGTGTACCATTCATTCTTCAGTACATACAGTCCATATTTGCAAGAATGGCCCATTTTAAATTCATTGGGCCTCATTCACCAATATTTTCCTAAGTTTTTTCTTAAATGTGTTCTTGAGAAAGGTCCTAAGAAAGAGTCTACGCCAGATTCATGACATCTTCTTAAAGCGCAGAATTGTTCCCACCTTTGTGCTCGAGTGTGTGTCGAGTCTGTTCTTACCTAAGAACAAATCCCAAATCAGAGAACACTGGTGAATGTCAGAGTCTTCAGAAAAACTGCATAAGTGGGTTTTAAGAAGAAATTTCTTCTTAAGAACGGTTGGTGAATGAGGCCCATTGTTTCTGTGATGTAACAAAAACCAACACAATTATATATATCTGCCTATTTAACCTCTGTCAATTCAAATTGAACTTATAAAGAGTGTTTCAGCTTTGACTGCTTTTTGAACAAGGTACAATACAGGCCAGCCAATCAGAACAGAAGTCATTTACATTTATCAATCTTAAAGGCACAGTATAAAAATAGCCTTTTTGATTCTGAGGGATAAAAAATGGTTGACAAATGGGCATGTGAAAAATGAATTATGATTGTTTTTAGTGCAAAAAAAACACCTCATTCCATATGTGGATCTCAGAATAAAAAACAAATGCAAGACAAATGTAGGATATGGACTCTGCTGGCTGTCATTTGAATATCCTACAATAAACATCCTGCATCTTGATCCCTCAGTGAGCCAGGGAAGGCATCATCTGTCAGACAGCAGATTATCCAGAGGGCTTTCTATTATGTATCATGTGTTCAGTGCTCTCTCTGGCTGCTGCTGAGATTCATTTAGCCCTGTCTGCTCAGGATCAGGGGTGTTTCTGAACTGCCGCCCATGCTAATTTCCAGTGCCAGCTTTTCTGCAGCGTGGAACAGAAGGATTTATTTACAGCCCCACTGCATCTGAGGACCAGTGAACATCTTCCCAATAAAGGCAGAGAGAAGATAATAACAGTTTACTGACTGGTGGACCTGCTTGGTTAAATATGCTCAGCAGGATTACTTCAGTGTTTTGTTTAGTTGTTTTGTGGACATTATGAGATACATACAGTAACTGCTGTGGACTGTCATGCAACCTAGATTTATGATTTATGCAGTCCACACATGTATTTTTATTTTGGCAACATTTTAAACTATGAAATTAGTACAAAATGTATCTCAATTTCTCTCAGGCACATGATAAATGCATAGTGGTGAGTTAGGCATAAGGCACTTTGCTGCCCCCTACTGTCTAAAGGATGACATATGCAGTCTTTCAATATTCAAAGGTGGCTCATTTGCCAGTAAACTGCAGGAGATCCATGATTTGTTCTGCATTACAGTTGACTGCATTACAGTCCTATTTCTGTGCACATGGGCAATGTAGTGCACACTACTTGTAGAGGTTTATTACTGTGTGGGCTGAAGTGTTCTTATACAGTTTTATTGCAGTATAGAATGCACAATTCTTCTAGGCTTATGTCAGAGTAGGATTTACTGTTGATGAACTGCTCCTAATTAGGCTTAATGCAGTGTAGGGTGAACTGTTGCAATGTAAGCTGAACTGTTCTTGTACAGGCTTATTGCAGTGTAGTGTGAATTGTTCTTGTACAGGCTAATTCTTGTACAGCTTTTTGCAGTGTAGGGTGCACTATACTTGCACAGTTTTACATAGTTCTTGTACACAAATTTTGCAGTGTAGGATGAACTGTTCCTATACAGACTTTTTGCAGTGTAGGGTGAGCTGTTCTTGTATGGGTTTATTACAGTGTAGGGTGGACTGAACTTGTACATGTTTATTATAGGGTAAGGTGAACAGGCCCTATACAGACTTCTTGCAGTGTAGACTGAACTGTTCTTATTCAGGCTTATTGGAGTGAAATGTGAACCATTCCTGTACAGGCTTATTGCAGTGTAGGGTGAACTGTTCTTGTACAGGCTTATTGCAGTGTAGTGTGAACTGTTTGTGTACAGCCTTACTCTTGTAAAAACTCATTGCAGTGTATAGCTAACTGTTCTTGTACAGGCTTATTCTTGTACAGGTTTATTTCAGTATAGGGTGCATAGTTCTTGTACAAGCGTATTGCAGCGTAGTGTGAATTGTTCGTGTACAGGCTCATTCTTGTATAAACTCATTGCAGAGTATAGTGAACTGTTCATGTACAGTCCTATTGCAGTGTAGGGTGAACTGTTCATATACAGACTTCTTGCAGTGAAGGGTGAACTGTTCTTGTACAGG